GGAACTCTGCATTTCTTCTTCTTCTTCTTCTTCTTCTTCTTCGTCTTCCAAGGGAAATTCGCATCTATTTTTTTCTGAAGGAGGGAAATTTTCTCCTTCTTATTAGAAAAGAAAAAAAAAAGAAAGAGAAAAAAGAAAAAGGAAGAAGTGATCTCTGTTTGGCTCGCTCACCCCGACGACCGATTCCCATGTCCCGGAGAGAGGGGGATGGCACCAAGGGCGACGAGAGGGCTGGGTTTGCATCCACGAGGTTGGCTGGGGAGGCTCGTCAGGATAACCAGTCGTCCTCGTCGTTGTCATCAGAGGTGGGAAAGGTGAACACACGGCTCCTTCCCTTTCACCCCTGCGCTACGAGCTCGAGGCTCCACGATAACGATTCGGATCCTCTTCCTCAACACAGATCGAATCGACCTGTACTGATGGACTGTTGGACAGATCCACATCCAATTCAAAAATCACCGAAAGTGAGTCGAATCGTGAATCCATTTGGATATGTCTCTGGATGTGCAGGTTCGGATACGGGGTGTGGGCGAAGGGGGTTTGGTTTGAATTCGTACTTTGGCCGCGCCCTTCCCTCGAGGTGGTGACTTGTGAGTGTTCAAGTTGGAATAGTGTGGTAGTTAGTATGCCTTTGAGGAGTGGATCCAAGACTTGCGTGCGTGCGTGGTGGTGGTCAGGTTTGTCGAGTCCAGCACGGGAGAGCAGGGCCGGCTGTCGGTCAACCACCTTCACCATGCATCACGCACAACTCTACCTTGGCTCGCATTCACAGAGTGTTGTTGGGTCTGAGTCTGATCATCGTCGACTCTCACCGTCTCTCTCAAAGGAAGGGGAGGGAGCGAGGGAGCGAGGGCACACTCATGACTGTTGATATCCTAACTGGACAGTGCCGGTCGATCGAGAGGCAGGCCATGGTCCCCGTACAGAACCACCCTCTCACGTCTTTCAAACCCCATTCGGAGAGTTTGTTTCGTCGCATACACCCACGCTCCTTCGCCACCGTCTCGGCTTCGTTCACCCGTTCGTTCTCACACCCGTCCGCTGTCGTCTCCCAACACAACCCTCCACCATGCTCTGACAGCCACACCGAGGCAAGCTCACCACCACCACCACCACCACCACCACCATCGCTTCCCAGAGCCTTCCTCGCTTGGACCTTTCACCTAGACCCCCCACCTACAGCCATATCCATCAAGCAACCATCACTCCCTCCTCTGCGCCAACCTTTCCGACCCTCCCCACCCCTTGCTTGCCACACAGACATGCGGCACCACCCCTCGGTCCGCGTCAAGCGAAACCGCCCACGGGTCATCGACTCGCCACCGCCAGACTCTCCTCCTCCTCCTCCTCCTCCTCCTCCCCAACCAACCCATCCACCCCTGCCTCGTTCGCAATCTTCCAGCCAGAAAGCTGACCCCTCGCCGCCTCACGATCCCCATCTCCTCCAGGCCGCCTCTGATCAGCTAGAGCGCAGGGCCGCCAGAGCCGAGGCGAGGTCCAAAGCGCAGAGGGCCGAAAAGGCCTTGGAGAGGCAGCTCGGTCCCACCAACTGGACCCACTGGGCGCAAGACCTCGCCGATCCAGAGATCACCTCCCCCTCCACCGCCAAGAGGGTCGGCGTCGTCCAGAAGATCGCCCGCAGGCACAGGCTCGCCGTCGAGAAGAGGGAAAAGCAGAGGAGGCTCTCCAGGCTCGCCAGGATCGCGGCGCTCGACCCGCTCCAGGAGGCTCGGGGTCGGAGGGAGGACAGGTTCACCAGGTTGCAGAGGCTCTACGGCGGCCGCCTCCAGGATGTCGAAATGACCGAGCAGCCCTCTCGGTCCGCCGCCGCCACCGCCGAACCGTCGTCCCCTGCACAGCTTCCCGTCCACGACGACCAACCCCCCCCCTCGCGACCCGCCACCCCCACCGAGGCGCCCATCGTGGTCGGCAGCAACGCGGACGCTTCTCCCATCTCGCAAAAGGACGCCGACGCCGCCGCGCGCAGCGGCAGCCTCAAAAGCAAGATCGGCTTCCTCTCCCGCAGGTCGTCCAACTCGAGGAGGAGAAGCGCCAGCAGCGAGGGTGGCGACCTTGACGCCGAAGCACAGATCCCGCTGACCAGCGACATGGAACCCATCCCCGAGACGGACGACTTCAACGGCGACATGGAGCACTCGAGCGACATCGTGGACACGCTCGACGTCGTCGACCCGGGCATCAGCGTCGTCGGCCACCTCTCCAACATCGGTAACTCGATCATCTTCCCCTACATCCCGTCCCTCTACGACCGGAGGCCCGTCATCCAACTCCCTCAGCAGCAGGAGCTGACGCTGGCCGACCTGGAAGGCGTCAAGAGGAAGCCGAGCCAATCCTCGGCCCGAGGACGCGCGGCGAGGAAAAGGTCGGAAAGCCCAGGCTCGGAATCGGAGGCAGGCGACCGGGTGGTGGTCCCTTCCGAGCAAATCCCGCTCGACGACGTCAAGGGTCGCCACCACCACCAAGCCGACTCGTCTCAGCAGCTGCTGCTCCAACAAGATGAGCTGGAGAGGGAGGAGGCCGAGCAGCTTGACGCGCACGTGCACGAACTGCTCACCAAGAGGCAAAAGTTCAAGAGGGTGATGCAAGGCGTCTGGGCGTTCGTCAAGACGCCCCAAGGGATCGCGGTGGCCATCTACGGGTTCCTGGTCGTCTTTTCTGGAGCGGCGCTCGTCATCTTCCTGCTCGGCTGGGTGGACCACGGCAAGAACAAGGACTACTGGGTCGAGCTCTGGTCCCAGTTCGTCAACGCGCTCTTCACCATCACCGGCGTGGGCCTCATCCCCTGGAGGGTGAGGGACACGTACCGCATGATCAGGATCGCCCACTACCAACACCTCACCTGGAGGCTCAGGAGGGAGCGAGGACTTCCAAAGCTCAAGGACAGGAACGACATCCCCACCACCACCAAGGGGTTGGAGGACGAAGGCGGTTCGAGCGGGAAGGACCGAGCCAGAGTCGATGGAACGGTCCTCGCCAGCACTTCGAGCGAGAAACCCGACGAGCTCGGCCGCGCCCGACTCGGCCATGTTGAACTGGCCTCGGTTCGAGGTCCAGAGGACGAGACGTCGATCCCCTCTCTGGAGGAGGAGGAGGAGGAGGAGGAGCACGAAGAACAAGTGCTCTCGGCTCGCCAAGCGAGAAAGCTTGACCAACTTCAGACCGACTTCCGCTCGTCACAATCGTGGTACAGGCCACACGAGACGGCAACGCACCACGCCTTCCCGATCTCGTACGCCCTCGCCATCACGCTGCTCAACGACTGGAACTCGATCTTCCAATGCATGCTCTGCGGCGTCATGTGGGGCTACGCCACACACTACAAGGACCGACCCGCCTGGACCACGGGTTCGTTGATCCCGCTCTCGTTCGGGTGCGGGATCGGCTCGGCCGTGCTGATCTGGAAAGGAGGTGAAAAGACCAAGAAGAAGAGGGAGGTCGAGGAGAGGCTCCTGGAAGCCTTCCGACTGGAGATCGAGGAGAGGGTGCGAAGGGAGGTCGAGAGGGAGGGGGAGGTGGCGAACGATCGAGATCGAGAATCGAACCCATCCTCGCCTACCACCAAAGGTCCCTTCCTTGCAACCGCACCGGCGAGCACCATCGGCCTCGTTCGTGCCGACACGTGAAACCCCAAGGCCAAGCCGTTCCAGAGAAAGGATCGGCCCCTTTTCTTTCGTTTTTCTGTTTGCTGTTCTACTTTTCGTCTATATATCTTTTCTCCCATTCATTTCCATCTTGAAGGGAAAAAAATGATACCCCCCCGCGACCCCCTTTCCGAATCCGTCCGGTTAGATCCGTGTAAATCACAACGGTTTCCTGTGGGGGATTCCTATGAATACAAAAAGGTGAGGGGTGGGGGGCTACTACCTTCAGATCGCTCTGCCCCCCGCCCTCACTCCTCCATGCCTCCTCCTTGTTTCGATCGGGGCGGTGGGGATGTTCAAATCCCTCATTCCTTTTTTTTTTTTTCTCTCCTCGTTTTGGGTGAATTCTGGTAGTTGAACTACCACCATAGGATACACTCAAATCCTCACCTGGGCATCGAGTTCTGGTTAGTTTAGTGGCTATGACGGCGCCTTGTCATGTCTCATCGACAGAGAAGCGCGCTCGGCGCAGACCCGGGTTCAATTCCCGGACCGGAAGCTTTCCTTTTTTCATGTTTCCCCTCCTTTCTTCTTTCTCATCCCCATACCTCCGTTTGATGACTGTTATCTCTACCTGGCGCCTCCACTCATCCATTCTGGTTAGTTTAGTGGCCATGACGGCGCCTTGTCATGTTCGCCCATACGGGAACGGCGCAGACCCGGGTTCAATTCCCGGACCGGAAGGAGATGTTCGTCCCTATGAATTTTTCCCTTTTGTCTCTCTCACTTTTGGAAAAAAAACCCCTCCATCAAGATCCTTCAATGGAACAGAGGAAAGGGGGAGCGAAGGAAAGGTTCGGAGTAAGGAAAAAGAGGGTTTCGGCAGAGATGGGAGTTCGGGGGAGTTTTTCAACACCAGACTTTGGACTTTCTTTTCAGACTTTTTTTTTTTTTTTTTTCTTTCCCCGCATCCTTTTTGGGATTCCCTGTGTGCGCCTCTTGGCGAGGAGGGAAAGAGGGTGGGGGGGGGGAGGTTTCGTCTACAGCTTGGAAGGGGGAAGGGTTACATGAAATCGAGATCGTCGTCCAGAGCCTCGTCTCCGTCTTTGGGGGTTGGGTTAGGTTGTTGTTTTGGGAGTGGGGGTCAGCATCCTCGTCTCTCTTTCGAGCGTCGACCGTGCAAGTGGGGGTGGGAATTTGGGACGCAGAGGGTAGAAAAAAAAAACTAAAAAAAAAACTCACAAGCCTTGGTGTCGATGACGTTCTTGGCCGAGGCGGTCCCGACAGTCTTTGGCTTGGGGGCCTTCTTGGCTCCTCCTCCCGACTTTTTGGCCTCCTTCTCCGCCTTGACCTTCTCCTCGGCGTACTCCTTGAGCCTGGTCGAGTTCTTCCGGATCTCGACGTCCCTCAGGTTGGTGCAGATCAGCTTGAGCAAGTGGGGGACAAAGTTCTTGTCGAATCCTGGCTTGGTCGAGTGTTTCTTGACCAGCTCGTTGTAGAGTTCGGTCGAGAGCTTCTCCCAGTCCTCCTTGCTGGTTGGGTTCATGGATTTCAACTTGGAAAGCGGGTCGTCTTTTTTTTTTTTTTTTTTTTT